AGTGCTATATTACCATAATATGGGATAAGTCATTTGATAAGCATAAGATTTCATACAAGACTATCATATACTTTTACAGTGTATTACAAAGTTTTTGCCAAAATATAAGAGTTTATATTGTTCAAAATATAAACATAGCATATAGGCTGTATGACTATTGTAGAATTAACTCATCAACAACATTTATTGCTTTCTGACTTAGTATTAAGTGTTCAATATAGTGGACTGAACAATGAAAATCCCCCCCCCCCCTCCCCCGACCAACAAAATCCTCGAAATTTGAATACCTGCCAATTTGAACGCTTTTGGCTGGTCCCATGGGTGTTCGGATTAGACAGGTTTTACTGTAATTACAATAATTAAACACCGACATCTACAGTAAAATCATAGTATATGTTTACATTATGATAATCAATTTTTTGCTCGTATGCTTAGAATAACGGTCTGTGTCTTATAAAAGGTTATATATATTTTGCAAGTGGATCCAAGAGACCAAGTGGGCGAGTCAATTATTTTGCAGGGGTGGCATGATACACACATTTCAATTTTGTATATAGTAAATTCCCAGGATTGATTACAGTACAGTAAAACTGTCATAATGAACACCTCTTTAGTGAAGATCTGTGCCCAATGAACACACAAGTCTACTCTATTGAACATCTGTGTGTAAGCAAACACCAATTCCCAGCCAGTGATCTCAGTAACTTTTAGAGGGGATTGTACCTACAGTAAAACCTATCTAATCCGAGGGACCAGCTAAAAGCGTTCGGATTAGGAGGTATTCACATTTTGAGGTTTTGCATTTGCAAGATTTGGGATTTTGAAGAAATAGGAACAAATTCAATAAATATTTATAGTTCTGTTGACTACATAGCTTTTTGGCATTACAGTGACATAAAAATCTGATTCAAATGAATTTATTCATCCTAGAAAGCATCACCATGAGTGAGATCATTCATGTTTTTTCAAATATTTGATCAATTTTGTATGTAACATGTGATATTATATGAAAAATGTTCAGATTACAGTACTGTCAACCCCTAAAGATTTTCTCGCGGGACAGATTTTTTAGACCCAGTGCCCAAAATTCGAGGGATTTTGCGGGACATGTACTAAATTCGCGGGATTTCGCGGGACATTTAAGGCATTTGCGTGATTGCGCTAATAGGCCAAATTTTTTTTTATCAAATTCGCGGGATTTCGCGGGACCATTCGAGGGACAAACACTCTAATTGCGGGACAGTTAACAGGTTTACCACCAAAATCTTCATACATCCACCTAAATTTGCAGGATGTCCCGGGACATTCAAGGGATTTGCGTGATTTGGACTAATGTAAAAGCATGTTAAAGTACTTAAATCAAACTTCCAGATACTGATTAATCAAATATAATGCACCGTTGCATTATAACTTAAATAAACGTCAACACAATTTCACAAAATACGCATAGGAATATTATTAAACTTTATTGTAATTTATCAAAAACAAAAACCATGCTTCAGGTGTGAGTACCGTAATCTAACACGAAATTCAAAAATTCGGAACAATACTTTGCACTTCTGGCGTCGTGACCAACTATGAAACGCTTACCCCCATAATGTTATATATTAAAATGAACCTATTCATATACTGTAGACATTGGCTTTCAATTGAAAGCCCATGATATAGGGGTTCGATTAATCTACATCAAATTATAGGGAATGAGGTTACTTTTCTAGATAGGGTTTGTTGAAAAAACCGGGTGCCGGGTAGTAAATCCTCCATGCTGGGTTCAAACTTGGTACCAGGTCGAAAAAACCGGGTACCCAAAAAACGAAATATACGAATATACAACATAATTAGATCATTAGAAAACGTGTAAGATTTGTTTTGAATTTACAAAAATGTATGTAACTTCCTTCAAAATTGCGCTAGAAGCTTCAAATGAAAAGCATTTTAAGGCTCTTTTCTTCCTTTATCATCATAACCAATGAAAATATGGCCATGACGATAGAGGAAGAAAAGAGCCTTAAACTATGCTTTTTATTTGAAGCTCCTAGCTCAATTTTGAAGGATGTTACATACATTTTTGTGAATTCAAAACAAATCTTACACTTTTTCTCATAATCTAATTATGTTATATATTCGTATTTTTCGTTTTTTGGGTACCCGTATTTTTGACCGGGTACCAAGTTTGAACCCAGCATGGAGGATTTACAACCCGGTACCCGGTTTTTTCTACAAACCCTTTCTACATATCAGCGTCCATTTATTGTAACTCGCGTTTGCTAACATTTGCTCAGTTTTGAGATGAAGGCCACACGGGTAGTAAAAAGGCCAACGTTGGAACTGTTTGTGACCTACATCCCTATTTTCGTAATTAAAATGAAAGTTGAACCCTTCCTCTTTATTTTGATACCAAACAACAGCATGCTAGGTACTTACAACAAGGTAAACTTTACTCCTCAAAAGTGCAAAAACTTAGCTTCTTATATAAGATAAGATAATCACAATATAGGGGATTGCAACAATTTCGAAAATTCGCGGAGGTTAAAGCCACATTTGCGGGACTTCGCGGGACATCGCGGGACACGCGAATGAGCCTAATTTTGATCAAAATCGCGGGATAATCCCGCCATTCGCGGGACACTTGACAGCTCTGAGATTAGATAGATTAACTTTTCAAACATGACTGTTCACTGTTCAAATTGGGAGGTGTTCACATTTCAAGTTTTTTAACATTTGAGTCAATGGGAGGAAAAACGGGACCAAAAAATGTTCAAATTGGGAGGTGTTCGGATTAGCTAAGTGTTCAGATATACAGGTTTTACTGTACTACAATTGTTTCCAATCTTTTGGAGGAAAGTGTACATAATTCCAGAATGACAGGTGACACACTGGGAACTGGTCAAATCAGGTGTTCCCACGCTTTACGTCCAGAAGAGGTCATTTCCAAGGATTATAGATGAACCCTTGGCCAATCAAAGATATAGTTTACATAAGAGAAGTATGACTGTATGAATTCTGGGATATTCCTGTTTTGTTGAGACAGACAGAATAAAATTAACCCTTTTCAAAAGTCAACTGAATAACCATCCTCTTATTTCTATTCTGTAGACTCAAATATATGGTTATGTAGGGGGCAAAGCTAGCAAATGACAAGGCGGTGCAGCCAATAGCGTAGCATCATATACGCAAAAACGCCATTGCATACTCTCAAAAATAAGAGAAAATTTGATTTTTTTATATTGAGAACAACAGGCAATTTTTTAAAAACAACTTGTAAAAATTGCCTGTTGCTGAGATGAAACACCTGAATCATTGGCCAATAATTTATTTGTGCATTCTAATCTATATTATTCAATTTGCTTCTGATTTTGGAATTAACAGATCTGATATTTATTGACCACTAAACTTTTAGTAGGTTTTCTTTAATAAGGCAATTTGAGTATGTGGAAATTGATAGGGTATGTGTATATCCTGCCACCCCTGCAAAATAATGGACTTGCCCACTTGGTCTCTTGGATCCACTTGTAAAATATATATAACCCTTATAAAATGTATAAAAGTTCGAATCAAAATATTTAAGTTTTTTGCCCCTTGTGTTGAAAGACATTTTTTGACCCGAAAGCCGGAACTTTTTTCAGCAAATGGTATTTTAAAGAATCAAGACATATACACATTCATAAATGTTGCTTCAAATGTTGCTGCGCTATAGCAGGCCTGTCAACTGTCCCGCAATTTGCGTATTTGTCACGCATTTGCTGAAGAATTTGAAGTCACGCCAGTTATTTTTGCGTGACAGAAAATGTCACGCAAATACGCATTTTACCTGGTAATTGTTAAGCAAAAATGTGTTCAAAATTTGGCAAGATGTAATAAAATTTAAACCAAGGTGTTCAAAATTTGGATCAAGGTGTTCAGATTTGGACCAAGGTGTCCACATTTTGAGGGGAGGTGTTCAACATTTCCAAGTCACTCATGTTAGGTGTTCCCAAGTTGACAGGCCTGCTATAGTGTGCTACGGATCCTTCATGTTCGGAAATCATACCATACGGTATCAAAAGGTTTATTTCTCAAAATTCAATAAACCTATCATTTCAATATTACATAGGAATAATAAGTGTAATGTTGGTCCATCTTTATAAAAAATTATAGGACATTTTCTAGAAGGTCAGATTAATATAAAAACACACATTATGTAATTGAAGGGGGTGGGGTAGGGGGTATCTTCGATTCAAATTTTAACATTGTTCCACAACTTCGATTTTGGTAGATTTTTAGTATATATTTCAAGGTTAATAAATGTAAATAATTAACCTAATTTGATTTCTATTGCAATTTGTTTTGGGTTAAGCTATTTTTTCATTAGTTTGACTGGGCTAAATTGTCACTTCAGACTCCTGCAATAATTACAATGTAATTGTCAAAATAAATACTATTTTAAAGAAGAATATTTTATTTTAAGAATAAATTTTTTATGAATTGAAATTTTATGAACTGAAAGGTGAAATAAGTTTGACAATAATTCATTACAATCCTCAGTCCTCAGGTTGTATGTTTGTTGTGCTATAAATGTTCTGTGATGTTCCCTATAATATTCCTATGAGATGTCCATGCACTTATTAATGACTTGAAGTTCTGCTAGAGTAGATGTCTGATTATGTTCTGCTACTGAGAGTCACTGTGCAGTTCTTTTTTATACTAGTGTTTAAGAATAATCCAGAAATTAATCTTCTGAAACTACATCTTGATTGGACTTTAATGACATGATTAAATTTTAATGAATAGTTATAATTTCCAGAACTCTTTAGAAGGTCAAAGGTTAATGAGTCATTCAGTTCAGTTTTGTTTACAAGATATAATGCCATTGTAGCCTTGACCTAAGATCTCTAATAAAGATCAGTTTAGTATATGCATGTTGATAAACTAAACTTAGTGTTAATATAATAGACTATAGAAGTCAGTACTGTAAATATGTTATTAATATTTTCAATGCATACTAATATTTTCACTCTCAGGTGCAGACTCCAAAGGGGAAACTGTTTGCATTTGACTCTGAAGGTCAATATGTGCTAACCTGTCAGCAGAATGGAGGCTTGATCTATAAGGTGAGTTCACATTGAATGTACATGTATGCAACACAAGGGTAATCTGGCAAAATGATGTAAAATTGAACAAAATATAGTGTGTAATTTCTTAATATCTTTCTCGAATGAATGCTTATCTTGTCCCTAGGTTAATTAGCAAAGCTTGAATATGCAGGAGCTGTTTGTGTTACTCCCAGTAAAAGTTGAATTACAGTTACCTAGCTTGTATTTGCGAATACAGCTCAGCTATCGGCTACTTGATTACTATTTTATGACTCAATATGAATTACTCAAATGCGATTAGGTAGTTACCAGTTTCCCCACCAGGTGGCTGATTCAGGGGAAATAACATGGCAGGGTATTACAAAATTCCCTTAAACTTGAATATTCACCAGTTTTAGTGGTTCACTTTTCATTTTACCCTTATGTATCTGATAGTTATACAAATTAAAATATGTCCAGTAACACAGGCTGGTATCGAAAAATTTGTCCGCTGTGACGGAGCGTGCTATTTTGCATAGAAACACCAGGAGATCCACACAACTAATTTTTTTACTCATATTTTTCACTATATCAAAGAAAATTACCTACTCCATGCAATGGATATATCATTTGCAGGTAACTTCTGTTTGAAGTCCAACAACGCTAAGAGTAAAAGCTATTGAAAACAGCGCTGGAGTATCGTACTCCAAAATGTACCATTTCTTTATAGGGATAGTATAGGGTCTTTGCATTTTGTAGTGCCTACTTTCGTTCCAAAAGGTAAGTGGAGTGTATCTTGAAATACGAAAATGCAAAATTAGATTTTAAGATTGTTTTTTATTTGAATAAGAGTTAGGGTTATCTGATGCAACTACAATAAAACATGTGTACAGTGAACAAATATGGAAACCCAAAAATGTGTTCCCAGTTGGTACATGTTCACTCCATAGAGGCATTTTCATACAGAAGTCAGAGGAATATGTGATAAGAAGAGGTGTTCACTAGAGAAAGATGTTCATTGATGCATGTTTTACCGTGCAGCACGTTTACCAAGATTTTTTTTAAATATTTTTAGACTATGCAAAACAATGAGGTATGAATTTCAAATAATTACAAATTTAAATCTGCATTGGGATCATCTTATACAGTACAGTAATATTATATGGTGATATAATACAGTACAGTAATATTATATGGTAAAAGGTTGTACATCTGTGGGAATACAGGATGTCTGTGAGCTTTTTCAAATAAATTCATATTAGCCCTATTTACACTACACGTGACATTCCAAGACGTATTAGAAATATTATTTTGAGTTTACACCATGTAGTACTACGGCCAAGGCGATTTGTGTCCAAAACACCTAGATTCAATTTGACTTTAGATTCTTGTAGGGGACCCCAAGGCATGTAAAAAAAGTTTGAGAACCCTTGCAAAGCAGGCTCAAAAGTGCTGAGTTAGCAAATTTTATTATTTTTGAGTCGGAATTTGACCATATGCTTGAAACTATTTAATATCTCATTTCAGGATAATGCAATTATAATGAAACATTGTCAATATATCAATAAGGCATGTATGAAGAATTCCTGAAAGTTTGGGTCTTAACCAACAATATTTGGTCAAGATATGGGATAATTTGTCCCTAAAAATACATAATTTCTCTTCAAAATTTCTTAATCAGTCGATAGTTAATCAGTCGTTTAAAAAACAGTAAGGGCCTATGGGGTATAAAACCTGATTTAAAACTTCACTGATGATGTTAGCAAATATTTCTTGAGTAAGTTTCAATAAAAAGTACAAGTATCTATTTTTCTGATTTTTCTCTTTACCTTCCCCTAAAAATTCAAGAAAGGGGGCGTGGCACATAACACTTCAGTTGTTGAACTTGTTGCTAGGGTCAAGTAGAAAATGTGTATCATGGTAGCAAAAAGTGTTATTCTAAATAAATCTTAACACTATATGTGACATCATGATATGCTAAACATATTCATTATCTACCATTTTATATTTTTTACAGCTTATCATTGCCATACCCCATAAAACTGTTTAGGGTATATGTGGTCAGCAATAGGATATACATGTATGTGTACTTATAACATTTTTCAAAATTGTATTTCAGATGCCATTCTATCCTAATGTTGTTCATGTAGTTATGGTATGTTAAGAATGAATTATGATGATAATATGTTATATTACACTCCCCATCATAAGTTTTGTAACTGGAAGTCCCCCTTTGAATCACTTATTAAAGCTTGTCATGCTGTTTGGCAATTTTAAACAAGACATCAAGCTTTTGGAATAAAGCAATAAGGAACAAAATCAAGGTTCAAACATTGACAGACCTTAATATGTAATCAGTTGTCAACCTTATGGAGGGGGTGTATAAGTATTATATGTGTCATAAATTGTTTAGTTGTAGAAACCTGAAGCCAAAGGAAATAATAGTGCTTTACATTCTCTCAAAGACAGTGATCAATTCTGTGGCACTCATTTTGTTGACATTACTTATATGATATGTGACATTACGCGAGTTTGGTCTTAAGGCCATCATATTCCAATGGTGCAGAATCCCAGTCGCCCCATCAAGTCCCACCATGCCATATCGAGTCCCACAATGTCCCAAGAGACCTATAACTTTGCCCCATGGAGTCTCATCGAGTCCCTCCATATCCCACAAAGTCCCACGGAAATGATGTAATTAAGTTTAGAAGGTAATGTCAAGGTCATTTTGATTTCAAGTTAGCTAACACATCCCATGATCAAAAGTCCCACGCTGCCCAATGGAAAGAATGAACAGGTTCATTCTCAGTGGGACTTCGCTCAATGGGGCTTCATGGGGTAAATCCCAAGGAGTTCCATCGGGCAAAGCTCAATGAAGTCCAACGGATTTCCATGAGGTCCCACCCAATGTTAAATCAATGGAGGTCCCACCATGCCGTATTGGTGTATGTTAGGCTTTAGCGAAGTAACTTCCTTTGTTTACATTCATCAAATCGTTAAAGAGGAAAAGTTGTCAAAACTTTGTAAGAGCCTGATTATTTGGACCGATTTCACTTGTCTGCTACGGATATTTTAGTTTTACACAAACTGAGCTGGCCAGTGCCATTCATAATATCTTCAAATAATTTTTTTTCTCCTGCATTCAATTCATGACCACATGTTACTCCAGAATCCATAGGATCTTCGGGGATGAGCCGAATGGTCACTTGGTCTTAGATTGAATGTCTTTAACTGGTGAATAGGTTTATTATGAAGGGGTTTCCATGATAACATATGGTCTTGGAAAAACAGATTCCAAAAGTCAATGGGAGTGACAAAACGTAAGTAAGCTTAATAACTGAGTGTGGATTGGTTGATCCCAAGATATTATCAGTCAGTAGCTTATTACGTACTATAACAGTTAGCAGGGAACAAAAACTGGAACTTACTGTTACGCCGTAATCACGATACAAAAATATGTCATATTCCGCAATGAATATGGCATATTCACTTGCGGTGTATGACAGATTCACCTGCGGTATATGGCATACACACTAACCAATGAGAATGTGATATGGAAGTATGCAATTGTCAATTGCTTAGATTGAACGAGCAAGTTAAACATTATAAATTATTATAATGATTACTGAATCAACAGTACTGTGTATCAAATATATTAACTTAGCAGAAGTATCAGTCACCAATCTTGTGCAATAAACTTACTCAATCAATCCTGGATTGATACATTATTACTAGACGCACTAACTATATTGGTAATCCAGTGTAGTTTTACATTTAGAGTCGATTCTCGCAACCAATTCACCTGCGGTATATGGCATATTCCGCAAGTGAGTATGACATATTCCGCAGGTGAGTATGGGGTATTCACTGATATCAATGTATCGCATATTCACTGCGGAATATCACATACTCACCTGCAGAATATGCCATTCACCCATATCACAAATACTGCGCAACCATGAATGTATGCCATATACCGCGTAACACTTACTGTCGATCATGCTGCTCCAGGAATAATGAGTCATCTGTACAAAGCATAATCAAGGTGGTAGAAGCAAATGAGAACCCATTTACATTGAAAATTCTGATAATTAACCATCTTGATTCTCAAGGTTTCAATTGCTCCAACTGTATAATAACATGGAAGTCGAAGATGATAATAAGCTCCATTAAATACTTACTATGGAGGTGATGACTTATGACATCAGAAAGAGTTTATCATAAATATCAAGAATACTTGACTGGTTGAAAGAGATGCCAAAAGATAAAGTGAAAGTGAAATTGATTCCAATATTGAGATTTTAAAAATCTATTTCTCTGTTTTGGTGCATAAATACAAAGGAGGGCTTCTTAACCTTTCTATCTACAGCCAGGGATACAATTGTTTCCTGTACAAAGTACAATCAATTCCCTTGATATTATGTGAAGTATCGGGTGCTAGACTAGCATTGAAACATTATCTCCAATTCCTTAGGGACAATAGGGGCGTAGCAAGCTTTGTTTCAGTGGGGGTTTGATCGCCAAAATTTTTCGGTTTTCAGTCAGGTTGATGCAACTGTGGCATAAAAAAGCAAAAAATTAAGATCTTTCTTGAATTTTACAAATCTTGATTCAACTTCCTTCAAAATAGGGCTAAAAGCTTAAAAAGCATTTTAAAACTCTTCTATCTCATGGTTATATTCTTATTGGTTATGGGGGGGGGGGGTGCAATCCCTGCCTAAGCCTATGGACAAGATGTATTATTTTGACATAAGCAAAACATACACATATTGTTATGTTCTGCAGACTACAACTAAACAGTTTATGACATATATACAATACGAAGTGTGCAAACTGCAACCAGGCTCTGAGAAACCCTGGGTCTTAATCATTTGGTGTTACAATTTGTTATTATATAGCTAATTATTTTCAGCAACAATAGGAGTCTTGTTGCAGTTTACATGGACCCTATACTATAAAGCATGTACACCACCTCCATAAGTTTGGCAACTGGAAGTTATTATATGATAGCATATCAAAGTCTGTCAATGTTTAAACCTTGATTATGTTCCTTATATTTCAGATATTTCGATTTCATATGCCAAAAATAAACAGGCTTTAATAAGTGATTCAAAGAGGTTTGAGTTTCCAAACTTATGATGGGAAGTGCTATCATTCATAAACATAAACTATAACTACATGAACAACATTAGGAAAGAATGGCACCCGAAATACAGTTTTGAAAAATGTTATGAGCACACATACATGTATTTCCAATTGCTGACCACACATACCCTAAATGATTTTATGGTTTATGGCAATGATAAGCTTTAAAAATATAAAATGATAGATAATGAATATGTTTAGCATATTATGATGTCACATATAGTGTTAAGATTTATTTAGAATAACACTTTTTGCTATAATGATACATATTTTCTATTTGACCCTAGCAAAAAGTTCAACAACTGAAGTGTAAGGTGCCACGCCCCCTTTCTTGAATTTTTAGGGGAAGGTAAAGAGAAAAATCAGAAAAAATAGATGCATGCACTTTTTATTGAAACTTATGCAAGAAATATTTGCTAACATCATCAGTGAAGTTTTTAATCAGGTTTTATACACCATAGGCCCTTACTGATTTTTAAATAACTGATTAACTATCGACTGATTAAATGTTTTCTATGAATAAAAAAGTAATAAAAAAAGAAAAAAAAGACATTTTGAGGAGAAATTATGTACTTTTAGGGACAAATTATCCCACATCTCTACCAAATTTTGTTGGATAAGACCCAAACTTTCAGGAATTCTTCATACATGCCTTATTGATATACTAACAACAATGTTTCATTACAATTGCATCATCCTCAAATGAGATATTAAATAGTTTCAAGCATATGGTCAAACTCCGACTCAAAAATGATAAAATATGCTGACTCAGCACTTTTGAGCCTGCTTTGCAAGGGTTCACAATCTTTTTTTACATGCCTTGGGGTCCCCTACAAGAATCAAATTGAATCTAGGTGTTTTGGACACAAATCGCCTTGGCCGAAGTACTAATGTTGATTTATGTTGATTTCAGTACAAACTTCAGAAAAATGAGTGGTCGTTTTTATATCTCAGATTTACATTACCCAAGATCTCTCAGACTACTTGTCATATATCTTGGAAAGTGATTTGAGACGTTCTCTCCTCTAAGGGTACTTTAAAAGATATAATTTGAATCTTAAATTCTTAACGTAGTTCACAGTTAAAACTGCTCTGTCACTATATTGTACCATTAAAAAGAAATAAAAGAAATGGTACATTTTTGAGTATGATACTCCGGCGCCGTTTTCAATAGGTTTTACTCTAAGCATTGTTGGACTTCAAACAGAATTTTAAGTTACCCGCGAATGATATATCCATTGCATGGAGTAAGTAATTTTTGTATACCGAAACATATGAGTAAACTAAAAAACAAATTGTATGGGTTTCTTAGTGTTTCTATGCAAAATAGCACGCTCCGTCACAGCGGACAAATTTTTCGATACCAGCCCAACACGAGAAAAGATATTTCAATTTATTTGATTTTACAACATGGGGTCTATGGGGAATCTCCCCAACCTAGAAGTAACATTTTCAAAGAAAATCAAATTTTCAAAGTTGATAAATTTCAAAGTTTTTTCGAGTAAGTAAGTCCAGTAGCCGATATCCAAAAGTTGCATTTGAGAATACAAACTTAGTGATTTACACAAAATCAACTTGTTATTTCAGATGGAAGGGAAGCAGCTAAGTCGTAGTCTATCCCTCGGAGGTCACAAAGCTCCAGTTGTCTGTGTAGACTGGGCTTCTGCTATAGACTGTAGGACCTGCCTTACTGGTTCTATGGATGGCAAAGTGAGGGCATCAACTCTGCTAAGACAATAGCACTATGCAGTTGAACAATAATACTGACAAGTTCAACAATAGCACTCTCTTGAATTGATTGACAATAACGCCTGTCTAGTTGGTCAATAGCACTGTTTAGTTTGACAGTTGCACTCTGTCCTTAGCAGGAACATTCTGTAGTACTCGAGCAAATACTTGGCCAAAATACAGTACTTGAACTAGAAAAGTTCTATAAAGCACTTCCAGCAGGTTTAGGTTAAAAGGTACTCCTTCTGTGCTTTCTCCAACTGGCGAAACACAAAATAATATTGCAATAATGTAGAATTGTGAGCATCATTGTGTCACTGAATGAACTGTGCTGAAGGCAATGTAATTTACACAAGGCAAGTATATCAAATGTACTGTAGTTAAAACTGTATAATATTGCAAATCTAGAGCTAGAAATTATTTTATTAATATTTAATGTTTACCAATAAATCCAATGGTAACAACTACTGTACTTTGTACCATATTCATTGTCTTTTATAAAAGCTTAAACTACACTTAGTTAGCAACACAATAGAATGAACTGTGTTTTATTTTTAAGAATACCCAGCTATAACAAAGAGGAGTGCATTATTTTTCTACTGTTTTTATGTCACCACCAAAAGTGGTGACATATTGTTATGGTCTCCGTTTTTTTTGTGACGGAGGTTGGTGGTTGGAGGTTGGCGTCCGGCGTCCGGCGTCTGTAACAATTTCTTACAACTTCCTATAACTTTACAAATACTGTTTAGACTGACTTCAATTTTTTTCTAAATCATCTACATGTTCTCAGAAGTTCAAATCTGACTTTAGATTTGACATTTGACCTTCAATGACCTTCTCAAGGTCAAAAAGGTCTTTTTTCAACTTGCTTCACATTGACTAAATTTTTTTCAAAATCATCTACATGTTCTCAGAAATTCAAATCTGACTTTAGATTTGACTTTAGATTTGACATTTGACCTTCAAATCTGACTTTAGATTTGACATTCGACCTTCAATGACCTTCTCAAGGTCAAAAAGGTCTGTTTTCAACTTGCTTCAAATTGACTAAATTTTTTTTTCAAAATCATCTACGTGTTCTCAGAAATTCAAATCTGACTTTAGATTTGACTTAAGATTTGACATTTGACCTTCAATGACCTTCTCAAAGTCAAAAAAGGTCAAAAAGGTCTTTTTTCAACTTACTTCAAATTGACTAAAAAAAATTTTCAAAATCATCTACATGTTCTCAGAAATTCAAATCTGACTTTAGATTTGACATTTGACCTTCAATGACCTTCTCAATGTCAAAAAAGGTCAAAAAGGTATTTTTTCATCTTGCTTCAAATTGACTAAATTTTTTTTTCAAAATCATCTACATGTTCTCAGAAATTCAAATATGACTTTAGATTTGACATTTTACCTTCAATGACCTTCTCAAGGTCAAAAAGGTCTTTTTTCAACTTGCTTCAAATTGACTAATTTTTTTTTTCAAAATCATCTACATGTTCTCAGAAATTCAAATCTGACTCTAGATTTGACATTTCACCTTTAATGACCTTCTCAAGGTCAAAAAAGGTCAAAAAGGTCTGTTTTCAACTTGCTTCAAATTGACCTTTAGGTGGTGACATTTTGTCATGTTAATGCCTTGTTTAAGAATGTACACTTGGCATTAGCTATCCAAAACCAGTGTGGCACAAAAGATGATTGACTGGCTCATGCAGTCCACTAAAGACTAACTAATTATACCCTATTCACTCTTTCAATAGTTGAAAAGTAAACACAAAAGAAACAAACTTAAAACTATATATGCCCTGTTAAATGCAGTGCACTGAAGCTAAACTAAAAATACCCACTCACTTCTTACTACACTTACCTCGTAGACAATGCAAAAGATATCAATTTTTCCTAAAATTGGATCATCGTGCCGCGGTATCCAAACTGAGTGCATACTATGCATGCAATTTGTAACACTGACAAACTGCGCGCATATAAACATTGCATCATACAAGTGTTTTCAAATGTCATTTTAAGACATTAATTCTGCATTGTGTAAAGTTTATCATCATATTGTAAAAGCGTTTTATCCTCATAAATAAATAAAAGAAATAAAAAATACATCACTAACATTTGCAATTATTACTTTATATCCCTTCAAACAGTGTTTAGTCCAACTTACCCCCCTATCACACCAAACTAGTTCGTACCCGTTCTTGGCAGTCCTACGAAATCAATCTGGCTGCGGTCGGGATATATGTCTAAAATACTTAGCTACTTCGTTCATAAACAGTCTTCAATACGTCCATCTCATTCGCAGTTCGTAGGTCGTACCACGTCGGTGTGCAACGTAGTATAAACCGTCCCTTAGTCTAGAAGGTCATCATGACCTGATTACAGAACGGTATGGTCGCCATCGAATTTTGAATCGATTCAAAATTCTAAATCACATTACCCGTCCGGTAAAGTCCATGAAGTTCGTAAACAGACCGTAGAACGTTGTAACTACGTTCATTCAGTTCGCACACAGTTTAAAACCGATTCGGCAACGTTTTGACGATCACCAGTAAATTTTGAGCATGTTCTGGAGGACCTACTCGTTCTAGTAGTTTCATGAAGTTTGTAAACAGATCCCAAACGGTTCTTAGTTGGTTCTTAGTACGTCAAATCCGTTCGTGCACAGTTTAAGTCCACTTTCGAGGACGTAGTGAGAACTAGTTTGGTGTGATAGTAGGGTAATATGATTTTTTAACGTATTTACTTGTGTGGACAATGTAGGGATGCAATATTACATTGTTGACAATTGAATCTTGTTACTAGTACAAACATCTTGATAAAATAACACTGATGATACAACAACAATAACTTGATACAACAACAATAACTTGATACAACAACAAGAAGCTGTTAAAACAACACTGCTGCCTTTGACAGGACAATAAAAGAACTAATAAAATAACACATTTTCTTGTTAAAACAACAGTATTGTTGTAGCCAGAATGTTTCGGGTCAAGAGACCAACTACGAAAGAAAGTTATCAAAAGGATTAATGCAAATGCCTTTTATATGAACAAAGTGTCAACTACATGTACGGGAGAGTTTCCTGCCCCTGCGATCTTATTTGTCCATTTAGAATAAGATAAACCATGTAACCAGGTCCATGTATTCCATTCTGACAGAATTTCACATTCAATTTCAAATTAAGTTTATTATGTTCGAAATCCCGAATGTCTCCGGGAGAATCTCTTTTCGAAATTACAATGTCAGATAGATACAAAATAATATTGATATAACTGAAGACACTTAATTTGGCTCCCGTTTTAATTAGACGGATTGACGGAGTCAGAAAATCCGCCAAATTAAAATCCGTCAAATTTCAGTTTGGAATTTTTGTCAAATGCACTTTAGAAATTAATCTTCTGGGGCCCCTTTTCCTGTCAACTGAGCATGTCATCAACATGTCATACATTATTCCAAAAGAAATACAGAAAATATCTTAGTAAATACCCGTCCTAATGACATAAACCATGGGCTTTCAAGAGAATCTTTTGATAGCCCATGCATAAACATAGACAAAAATTAAACTTCAGTCCTGATTCCGCCACATTAAATAGCCGCCAATATTTGAAATTGAGCAAATTCGTCAAATTAAGTAGCGTCAAAATAAGTGTATCTAAAGTATCTGTAAGGGGGGTGGCTCAAGGCATAAAGATTACCGGGAGATACAAACTGGAGAAATAGATGAGATGATGAATATGTATTGTATGTTTTCCAGTTTGAATTATGATATTTGTTATTGGTCCTGACCTAATATGATTAGGGACCACCAATATGTATGTGACAGTTTTGAAGTTCAAAAGACGGGTAAAATTGGTTAAAGTAAATTGTATATGATTAATCAGATTCAGAGATACACAACTAAAATAACGAGGAATTAAAAATAGCCTATAGACCCAGGCCCGTAGCCAGGATTTGCCAAGGGGGGGGGGCGGGGGTTCAAAAATGTCCAGGGGGGGTTCACATTTGACAATTTTGGCCCAAATATGGCTAAAATCACTTGAGAAGTGCTCAAAATGGTGAAAAATTGCATGATTTTGATAGAATTTTTGGCCAGGGGGGGGGGGGGGTTCGCGCGAACCCTGCGAACCCCCCTGGCTACGGGCCTGAAACCATGTAGACTGCATTTACTGCAATCATGGACTCTCTTGAAAGCCCATACTGTAATCAAGGTAATTTTGGGATATCCCGTCTTTGAAGAAGCAAAAACGCAATCAAACAGTTAATTAGTTATTGTGTGATCTAGATCAAAGAAACAGATTGATACAGATCAAAGAAATCAATTCCAAGATCATTATTACTATGTATTTAGTTCGTTGTATTTTTGAAAAGGGATACAAGAAAACTATGTATTAATATATCAAGGGCAGGATGCTACTGAATCTGATAGTTAAAGCGTATGCTAGTATGAGGGGCGACATTTAAAGTAAAGCATTGTTTTAAATCCTGGGAAAATGCACTCCCCCATTTTGCAAATATTACATGTGATTCCAATGAACCCTGAAATTTGTTTTTGTTTTCGTGAGCAATCAACAAATATGTTTATGAAAATCTTGTGAGTACAGACATATGATTCTCATTCTGTCTCAGCTTAGTGTTGATTAGATTTTATCCCCTCTCTTCCGACGTCTGTGTCTCCCTCATTTTTACCCTATATTCAGTTTCTTTTTAAACCTTTACAAATAATCGTTCCCATATATAAATCAGTAGTTGTTTATGACAAGATTATGTTTATAGATTATCAAAAATTAAGGTAGCGTATTCTGTAATTTCAACTATATATTAGCCCCCATCCCCTTCGCCGACAGTAATGTATTGTTTAAAATAATACTGCATCCACCGGCCAATTATTCTTTTACCATTTTGAGCAGTTTTCGTGTGATTTTTGAACAAATATCAAATGTGACCCCACCCCTGGAATAAGTTAGCCTCCTTCGCCGACAGAGATGTCTAGTTTAAAATAATACTGCATCCCCTGGCCAATAATTCTTTCACCATTTTAAGCAGTTTTCGTGTAATTTTTGAGCAAATATCAAATGTGACCTCACCCCTGGAATAATTCAAAAGTCATCCCCTTAGCAAATGCTGGATTCGGCCCTGGTACTTGTCAATGCGAAATAATGGGTGTTGATTAGTGGAAATACCCATTTAAACAGACCCTCTTAATTTATAACAAGTTAACAATTAAGAAGCCATGTTGCGATGTACTTTTCGTGACTCAAGTCGGATATAAAGTGAAAACATACTCTTTTTGATTTGATATCCCGTACGAAATATTAACATGTGTGGTAAATTATTTTTAAATTTAAATGTTTCCATATATAGCGCAAAATCTCATATGGCAATTTAATAACGACTAATTTTGTCTTGTGTTTAACCATAGCGTGCTTAGAGATTTCTAGACTCTAGTCACGCTCTGTCCACGCCAGCTCTAAGCACGCCTAGAAATCTCTAGATACACGGAGTTCCTAGACCGACTAAGCACGTCTAGAAATTACTAGAAATTCCACATTTAATGCAGTGTATGGTATGGTACATTGACATAATCATTGACCTTGTTATGTTGCTGATAATTGTAAATTGTATGTACAGGGTGAGCCCTAACAACACAACACAACACAACACGCTCATAAACATCTTGTGTTATGGCTCTTATCGTCCTTCTTATCTCTTGTTTCAATGTTTCAGGGGTTGTTAGTGTAGAAAATAGGCCCAAAGATAAAACTCTGGTGGCATTTCGGCATTTTGACCATGTTTTGTAAATAACCATAAAATCGTGAGAACTATAGATAGACCAATGACACTTAATAGAATGAAAGAACATTGACCAAGGTTTTAACCCAATTTATTCTGATTTACTTTTCACCATTGAGTGTAGGCAACCAGTTGGGACATTTGTAAGTAATTAATTTGATCTATATTCATTTCAAAACGCTAGCCTGTAATGCACATTGCACAAGGCATTGACCTATGTAACTTTTAACTGCAATATAATTGAACTAAATGGATAATGAACTGAAATTGAACAAGGCTCATAAACATCTTGTGTTATGGCTCTTATCGTCCTTCTTATCTCTTGTTTCAATGTTTCAGGGGTTGTTAGTGTAGAAAATAGGCCCAAAGATAAAACTCTGGTGGCATTTCGGCATTTTGACCATGTTTTGTAAATAACCATAAAATCGTGAGAACTATAGATAGACCAATGACACTTAATAGAATGAAAGAACATTGACCAAGGTTTTAACCCAATTTATTCTGATTTACTTTTCACCATTGAGTGTAGGCAACCAGTTGGGACATTTGTAAGTAATTAATTTGATCTATATTCATTTCAAAACGCTAGCCTGTAATGCACATTGCACAAGGCATTGACCTATGTAACTTTTAACTGCAATATAATTGAACTAAATGGATAATGAACTGAAATTGAACAAGGTTTAATTGTGCCAAATATGATTTTAAACCCATGCTGAATGACTGAGTTATTAGCATACATTGTTTGGTTACCTTTATTGGCTCGCCCTGTATCTTCGCCTCTTACACTGTTTCATCTGATTAGAGAATAAAAATAGAAAAAGCTTATAAAAGCCAGGGCATACTCTATGGTACCCCTGCGTCATTGGCTCTTGAATACTAATTCAGATTTATTTCGATTATTTTTGTTCTTGATCCTCTTCACTGGTGATCCACTCGATTACGCTGGTTACCAAAACGAACCGTTTTGGTAACAAAATGTCGGAACGTCGAAGGCACTTTTTTTGTTTTTTCCTTATTTCACGCGTTGTAGGCAGAATCCCCACGACGTTTTTTCTCACAACGTGCATCAGTATCATATGTTTTAGAAAATGTACATGTTTGCGATAAAATAGCTCAGAGGACAACAGAATCGTCGATTTACTTCCTCACTTAAGTTACATAAACGGTTTTTCGAAAAACAGTTAAGATCTGCACTTTTAACCCAAGTCCGTCCGTCCGTCCGTCCGTCCGTCTGTCGG